TCAAGTGTGGCAGCGTTAGTGAGGTTGGCCCATGATTGGACATTGTTTCGTTCTACTGTGCATGAGTTCGCTATGAGTCAGTTCCGACTTGATGGCACCTGACAACAACAACAACAACAACGTAGGTTTTTAAAATTTAATATTACATTACAAGTACATGTTACTCAATGTATATCTAGAATGTATCTCCTGTATATAACACATGCTTATATATTTTTTCTTTTATTATTTACCTTTTTTACATTTGAGTATTTAATCTTAGCTGCAAAGGAGTCTTCAAACTTTAGTAAACAATTCCTGGAGGTTATTTAAATGCATATTGCTGACTGATATTTTTTTATTTTTCATTCTGCTTACAGGAAAGGGTTTGGGCATAAAGAGTTACCTTTAAATAAAAATAAAAAAAATCCTAGGCTCATGTAAATATAAAGAGAACTCTCATAAGCATTTTCTTTATATTTACATGGAAACAGAAAAAAGCAGGATAAAGCTATAGTTATTCTACTTCCAAAATGCATTAAAACGAGGGTACTTCTTTATCCAAAATAAAACAAACAAAACAAAAAAAGACCATTATATTCAGGTTTACTTAAATTGTGAAGCCTGCTATAAAGAAGATGAGGCATCTCACGTATAACTTTGGTGAATAACAAATAAGAGAAAAAAAAAACTTTTAACCACAATACTATTTGAAAGTGAATATATTTCACAGAATCATAGAATTTCTTCAATCTGAATACTAAATAAAGATTGTTTGTGAAGAAAATACATTTTTAATATATGTTTTTAATGACCCCTGGTGGCTAAATATAATTTTGCCATGTACATATCCTTATAATTTATTAGTTAAACTTGGTGTGTTTAGTGTGGATTTAATTCCTTATTTAAAGTGATGTACATATTATTAATTACTATTATTTTTAATTATAACAGTATTGGATTTAACCTTCTTACTTTGCTTTCTCAATTTCTTAAGGTATGATCCAAAAGCTGATGCATGGTCAACTGTGGCATCTCTGAGAATTCCTCGAGATGCTGTTGCTGTATGCTCCCTTGGAGATAAACTTTATGCTGTTGGAGGATATGATGGACATACTTATTTGAACACTGTTGAGTCATACGATGCACAGGAAAATGAGTGGAAGGAGGTACTCTCATAAAGCGTGCAAATTAGCATATTGCAGACTTAAATAAAAAACTTTAAAATTTATCTTTGGAATTAGTCCCATTAACTTCCTCCTCCTCAGATTTTTTAAAATGACTCTCTCTATATATATATATATATGGAGCTCTGGTAGCATAGTGGTTACGAATCAGGCGACGAGACGCAAGGTCAGCAGTTTGAAACTACCAGCTGTTCCGCGGGAGAAAGATGAGGCTTTCTGCGCCCATAAAGATTTACAGGCTCGGAAACCCTGTGCAGGGTCGCTATGAGTCGGAACCGACTCCACGGCACAACAACAACAATATATATATATATATTCATAAGGTTTTCAGTGACTAAATGTTCGAAAGTAGTTTGTCACTCCTTCTTACTAGTCTGTCTTCATCTGGAAGCTCATCTGAAACCTGTCCACCATGGGTGACCCGGCTGGTATTTAAAATACCAGTGGCATAGCTTCCAGAATCATAGCAACTCACAAACCACCACAGTACAACAAAACTGACAGACAAGTGGGTTATATGAAGAAAAACGTGGCATCAGGATTGGAGGAAGACTCATTAACAATCTGCGATATGCAGATGATACCACCTTGCTTGCTGAAAGTGAAGAGGACTTAAAATACCTAATGATGAAGATCAAACACCACAGACTTCTGTATGGATTGCATCTCAATGTAAAGAAAACAAAAATCCTCACCACTGGACCAATAAGCAACATTCTTATCAACGGAGAAAAAAATGAAGTTGTCAAAGACTTCTTTCTTCTTGGATCAACTATCAACACTCACGGAACCAGCAGTCAAGAAATCAAACAACGTATTACATTAGGCAAATCTGTTGC